CGTGCATCCGACTTCCCCACGATTTCCTCTTGGAATGTTTTGAAGGCACAGGTCGTCTTTGGCGTGTTCCCTTTCACCCCAGCCCCAGCCTAAGTATGGTCTTCTGATCCGCAGAAGATCCTTTTAGATGAATGACCTGTGTTTTAAAGTCTTTCTTCTTCAAAATGCAGTTACCTCTTAAGCCCTAGTAATTCCAGTAGAGGATTTCTTACATTTGCATTTGAAGAATTTCCTCAGTGCTCTGTCTCCTTCAAGTCTGTACCTTCTCTACTTAACAGTTCTGTAATAGGGAGCTTCATAAATCACTCTAAACAGTGATTTATATTTTGTAAATATAAAATAAATCTTAGTTAATAGAAGTGATAGAAGAGTGTATTCACTCATTGAATACACTTAGCCACTGTTCTTATTTTCTGAAGAAGTTGTGGAAGTCTTTTGTGTCTTTACCAGATGTGCTCAAAAGCAAGGTGAATGCTGCTGCAAAAAATTAAGCTTGTGAAAAATAATATGATGTGTCCTTATCCATTATAGTCACAGGATCTGGCTTCCTTTGCCTTTAGCTTTTCCCCAGCAAACTGACAGTGAAAGGTTGCCGTTTTGAATAGACTCAGAACATCCAGAGACAGCCACAGTAGTGCCGCTGAAGACACGAGGGGTGGGCGTTTTAGGACTGCTTTAGAAAGTGGCAAGAATGGCGGGAGAAGTATGTTCGAAAAGGAGGATTGGAAGAGGATTAATGGCAGTGTGTCTTTGACTTGCACATTTTTTTAAAAAATGTATTTAATACAGGGTCTCAGTATGCAAACCGGACTCGTAGTGATCCTCCTGTTTTCAGCCTCCCAAATTCTGGGATGACAGGTGGCGGCCACCACACCCAGTCTCCAGCACCGTCTCATCGAGCCCCGGGGGTGGTAAGCAGGCGATTTAGTCTGCTGAATTATCTGGCCCGCCTTGACTTACATATTTTTGACTTAGATATTCATGGTGGTTCTCAATCACCCCTTTAATAAGCTGTATACTTTTAAAAGCTTTTATATAACAGTAAAACTAGGAAAAAATCACTAACATAAATATTCTTATAATCATATAATTGGTCAATTCGGCTATTCAGTGAAAATTTTCTTTCCTTTAAAAAGTTCAGTTTGATCACAGATATTTAACAAGAATATGCAGTAGTAGGTTTAACACGCCACCTGCTGGATACAGTTAGTATAGCTTTGTGAATATGTATTTCTAAATACTGAATATTGTCTTTTAACACTTCCTATTTCTACTCCCCAGTTTGTAACAATCAGTTTTATAGATTGTTTTGAGCATGCTAAAAGTAGCCATGTGGTCTGAATTTGTATCTGGTTAACTGATGTGAAATAAAAGGTAGGTCTTTATATGTAAACTTTAAGGATATAAACCAAATATTTTTGGTTTAGAAACATTGTCATCATGTAGAAGGATTTATATATTTTATATTTTTAAAGTTTTACCCTTTATTTTTTAGAAGTCACTAGTTCATTGATTTCTTAGTTAATAGAAGTTTTAGATGCCCTTATAATACTAGTCATACTAGATTGAAGAAAAACTGTTGAATTTGTAGGATTATTTGTAAATATTCATTTGATATATGAAACTTTTATAAAGCAAATTAGAGTAGTTTTGAAAGATTAATCTTTAGAATCCCCCATACCATGAGTATCCAATCTTTTGGCTTGCCTGGGCTGCACTGAGTGAAGAATTTTCTTGGCCACATATAAAAACATAATACAGCAGTCCCTTGCTATTTCATGGTTCAACTTTCGTGCACTGTTTTGCGGGTTTTTAAAAAATATTAAAATATTTATCGCGGATTTTTTCTATCTTGCGGGATTTTGCGGTAGTGTATGGTACTATATACATATTTCTATGAGTATATTTATGGTTTTAATGATTTTTGCCTAAACAGTATTTAAAATATGTAAAAATATATCTTAAGTGTTAATTCTAACATATTAAAAATATTAAATCAAAGTAAAGTACAGTTTATGGTATGTATTTCTTTAGCAGATTAATACATAAGGTACCATACAGTGTACTATGCTGTTAAAATTACATATGTTTATGAGTTTAGAAAATGGTTCAGAACATTAGAAGTGTTTTTAAAAGGGTGGGAAAAATTTTTAAGAGTGTCAAAAGGGTTTATAAAGTTTTTTTTTTTTTTTTTTTTTTT